AAGAGCCTGAGGGCTGACTCAGCTCCAGAAAATGCCACAGGTCCTCAGCAGTCTGTGTTAGAGGAGAAGAGATTCTTAACAGGTGTCAGAGTTAGGTTTTAGTGGGTCAGTTGATCAGCCTCTCACTTGCTTAAACCAATCTGAGGATTAGTCCTTAGATGGGTAAATGAGAGAGAATCTCTGTGACAGACCACTTGCAGTTGTGTCTGTGGCAGAAGAGGAGCAGCACAGGGCTCTGTGCTCTGTCTCTGATCTATGTTACAGCAGGAGCTCTCTCCACTTCTGACTTCTGAAATGTAGAACTTGGTGGTTTGAGCAATTTGCTTTCTCTTGCCAGGCAGTTCAAGGCATTGTCCCACACTGAGGCACAGTGACCTCTTCAAGATGAAATATTTCCTCTTGCAGTCTGCTCAGATGGAAGAACAGAGTTATGGAGGCATTGCTGCCTCCTTGAACCCCAGAAATCCCTGATCCCAGGGTGTTCTTTGGATACTCCCAACTGCAGCAATCTGCTGAAAGAATTTCCTTCCTGCATTTGCAGCTTGTGCCAGGCAGTGCCCCACAACCATCAGAAAGGTACTGAAGGAAATAAAGGCTGTGCTGTAGTGGTTTCCTTGGGAATTTTTCTACCTGGCTGCTCTGAAGCCACTGGAAAAGTGCACTAAGGGAAAATAGGACTTGGTTTTCTAGAAATGCATGTAAGCCTATCTTGCATATTTTCCAAGTTTCTGTTACTGCACTAAACCCTATAAATATTTACATGTTCTAAAGTATAAACTTAATAGCACCTTAAGCTGAAATAGTTTGGTTTTAGCAGCTAATTCTGGCTTATTTAATATGAGGATAATGTTGACATCTAATAAAGAAGGAAGTTGTAAAAGTTGTAGGAGGATCAGGATGGTAAGAGTTGTAGTAGGGTGATTAATATTTTTAAAAATTTAGTCTTCTAAAATACCCTTCTTAACTTCTATCATCTAATATATACCAAGATTGCAAATGTCTGATCTGTGCTGTTTTTAAGAGGCAGGGCTTTGCTAGAAGAAGAAAAAACCCTTGGCTCCTGATGCTGTGAAAGTCTTCCAATGAGAGGAAATGCCTGAATTGCAAAATGGGAGCACAGTTGAACCTGTAAATGCAGAATTCTGACTTGCACTTGGATTTTCTCATGGCATTCTGTCCTCTCCCTTAGGATGTCAGACATTTTACATGGGGCCAAGCAGAATTTGAGGGGTACGCACAGACTGGTGTACGCAGGGGCAGCAGCAAAGGGACATTTCTGGAGTCCCCTTTAAAGGAGAGCTGTGGTGCTGTGGAGCAGGCACTGAGTCACTGGGATGTGTTTGCATTTGTGCTGCTCTTGCAGCCAGGCAGGGCTGTGCCCTCACAAGGGTTTGAGCTCCTGGAGGCTCCTGCCTGTTCTGGGAACAATCTTAAGGCCAATGCCACTCTCCCTTTTGACATTTTACCAGTCTGGGGAATGCAGTGGGTGTCAGTGGGGAATAATCCAACTGGCACAGGACACAATTCAGTCTGCTTGTGTAAGTAAGGAGGCACTTCTGTGTTGTGAAATGCTGGGAATTAGAACATCAGTAAATATTTCTGTAGTATTTCTCATAAACAGTGGGGGTTTTGAGCTCTATTTAAATGACTTAATGAATTGGAGGCTCTGGCTCATCCCACAGAAATCAAAGCTTTTGTAGGAATGTGCCTCCTATTGTCAATGCAAGCATATTCAGGTCTCATTTTAGTATGGTGATACTGAATACTGATACTGTAGGCAAATTCCCCTCATAGTTCTTGGGCAAGATTTGTGTTTTCTGGTTCATGTTTCTAACAGTCAGCCTGTTATCAGTCACTGTTAGATTTTGTGTTCACTGCTGCCTTGGGTTGTATGGACTGGCACTGTAAGCAGGGTGGCACTTGGAGGAATTTTCTCTGTTTTTCTGAAGTGGCTACATGGAGTAGATATTTGGTAGAACAGGTAAAGAGAAATGTTAACTTCTTGCAGTGGCTCAGAGGGGCCAGGGAGGCTTGTAATGCCCAAGGAATATCAGCCCTGTGAGTTAGACAAAGAAAAACTTCCTGATGCTTCCCCTGCTATAAAGAGTAATTTTAACCTGTTTTGATTAAAAAACAGAGGAAGGCCAGATAGTATCCATGCCCACAGTCACATTGTGACCTCTAGCTCTGCTGGTTTGTGTCATGCAGCACACCAACCCTGTACCTAAAATACTAAAAATACATTTCTTTATTTTTTTTAATTAAGGCCTAGAAAGTATACTCAGTTTGCCTGGTTTGGATGTATTACTTGATCTTGAGCTTAAACTTCATCAGCAAAGTTTAGAAATGTACTTTTTAACTGACAGCTTATATAACAATTTTAGTAATTCTAGGACATGGGGCTTTGAGGAATGTCAAGTATTGCAAGACGTGGGAATAAACTTCCAGAACAGGCAGTGCTGCATGGAACACATGTCACTGATCTGGATCCTTACTGCAGCTTGTAGTAGTTGGTGCTTGAAAAAGGCATTGCCAAACTTCATGTGAGCACCTCAGCATCAGCCTTGGAGCTCAGTTGTTGCTGAGGTTTGATGAAAAGTGGGATGGTAATAAGCAGCTGAGGATGGGGGACTGGGAGAACAATTAAAATGATGAATTTCCCAGTAGTAGGCTGTAGTAACATGTACTGCTTGACAGGCTGGCTGCAATGTGATTTGGGTCTGATCATCTGTCACCAAAAGATCATTTTAGGGATATTTGTTTGAATTTTGAAATCACTTGTGGGTATTTGGATTCTCAGAGTGGCCACCTGCCAGTCTTGGGTGGTGTTTGGTGTGTTTGTCTGGGGGATGTGGTGGAAGGTGCAGGTGTGGTGACAGGAGTTTCCCCCATGTCAGTAGGAGTGGTTAAAATACAAAAAGGCGTGATGTGCCTTTTGGCCTTTAACAAGGTGCTTCTCCTAAATGAATGTAACAATAAAAAAATAAGAATATCATAAAATAGCAGAGAACTCGCTCTTCTATCAAGTTTCTTCTTTCCTCTGCTTCTTGGGTTTGCCAGAGCTGTGGTATAACTTGTTTTAAGAGGGCAGGTCATGAGAAATTTGATTTGTTATCTGGATACACATCCACATCTACACACACACACAAAATACCAGTTTGGAGTAGTTGGTTGGAATGATCATTGCAACAGCCATGAGGAATTGCCTTATCAGTGGCAGAAATATTGCTTGCATGGAAAGAAAGTCCTACACTTGGCACTTCTGACTCCTACAGAGCAAGAACTAAAATAAAATAAAACAGATAGAACTCATCTGGGGAGAACACCCAGGCAGGCACTGAATGAGAGAGTAGTGCTGGAGAGGAGCAGGAGTGTCTTCCTTACAGGAGACAGACACATGCAGCACAAAACTACAGAACACTGTCTCTGTGGTTTTCCTTCTGGCCTGGCCTGTTAGGACTCTGGAATGAGCGGGTAGACACTGTATGACTAAAATTTGCAGTTGAGCTGTTGTTTTGGAACTTCTCTGGTTCAGACCACTGTTGAATAATCAAACTGGTATCTGTGGAAGCTTACACAGCACAGCTGATGACTTTGTAGAGAAATGTCTTGCACTGATAATCCATTTTCCCCCTGTGTTTCTTCTGAAAGCTTTATAATCTCAGCATTCAAAATGATACTTTTTGGCTGAGCTAAGAATGCTTTTCTAAATCCTGGATTAACCAGCAAGCCAGTGGTTACTGTGCTTCTCTGCTAGCAGCCATTTCAATTTGTTGTGTTGGAGTTTTTTTAATTTTGGTAGGGGATTTTTACTCGTTTGGGATGAGGGGGTGGGAAGTGTTGTGGCTTTTTCCTTTTTTTAATTTGATTTCATGTCCTGAGTGGGAGTGATTGCCCTGACTGGGTTTGATGACCTTTCCTGTTCATCTGCTTGTGTGTCTTGGTGAGCAGATGAAGTGAAGGATGGAGTTGGGTCTCAATCTGCAGCCTCCACTCAGCTGCTGGCTCTCAGGAAGGAGGTTTAGCTGCAGAAAATAGGGACAGGGTTTTCTCATTTGTCACTGTGCTCTTCTCTGCTTGAGCTGCTGCAACAAGGGCTGCTTCTCAGGAGGGAGATTCCATTTACTGCTCCAGCAAAGATGGCTTTAGGGACACTTCTGTTTCCTCAGTTCAGCACTGCACTGTTCTCTCGTGGACCACGCACCTAAAATAGAATATACTTGAAGAAATTTCTAAATTTAGGAAGTCTTGTATTGGAACAGATCCTGTTAGCAGCTCCACATCTTACTGATGGTGTATTGTGATAATTGCAGCTAAGGAATGCATTCAGCATGATTGGGCTTGGTAGGAAGCATGGTACATCAATCAGAGACTGCCAGGCAATCTAGGAGACTTTGGGGTCATTCATTGTTCCTCTCCTCTTGCTTTAGAAGGTGCACACAGTGTATTTAATTTCTCTTTAATTCAGTTTTAATAGAGTATCCTGAGGGAAACTCTCAGGCTTCATTAGTAGCAGAGATGGTGAGCTGAAGAGAAAAATTTATGCTTTAAACCATTTGTATTGTTTGGAAAAAAATAAAACTTTTAGGCCAAAAACCTTTTAATAGATGCTATTTCTATGATCTTGTAATTGGTGATTAAATAATGAAATTAATCTCTTTACTATGAAGAAATTACTTCCTCTCTGGTTAAATGAAATGCTCGTGTCTATGTTACTGCTGGTGTTGCATCATGGGTCCACTTCTGAGCTGCCTTTTGGTCTCTTACATTTTCCAGCTAGTGTGGGTAATAGAAATGGTCTGAGATGAGGTAAGTGTAAATATTTTGTAGCCTTCTGCCTGAAATGATAAAAAAATTGGCAAGTTTCTTGCTATGCAGCTGATCTTTGTCTGTTTGGCCTGTAACAGAGCAGCTACAGGTGAGCAGTGAGATGAGGTGGCTTGTTCCAGAATGGCTCCCTGGTGTCTGAAACGGGCTGTGTGTTGTTTGTGTGCCCTCAGGAGTTGTGGAAGGTGACCTGGCTGCCGTGGAAGCCTACAAGTCGTCCGGAGGGGACATTGCCCGGCAGCTGACGGCGGACGAGGTGCGGCTGCTGAACCGCCCGTCCGCCTTCGACGTGGGTTACACCCTCGTGCACCTGGCCATCCGCTTCCAGAGGCAGGACATGCTGGCCATCCTCCTCACTGAGGTGAGCTCCCTTGCAGCCATGCAGCAGCCCTGTGGGGAGCTGCTCCCCTGTGTGCAGCCCCTGGTGCGCAGCTCTGCTTTGTGCTGCTGGTGGAATTTACGTGAATCGCCGCCCTGTGCCTTGGATTTCTCCTCAAGGAGTGAGTTGGCTTTAAGAGACTCCCTGTGATGGTCCTGGGGATGTTCAGTTTGCTCTTTAATGAGCAGTCTTGGCACACGTTGGGACTTTACTGGCAGTGGAAGTGAGCTATTGTGAGGCTTCCTGTGCTCTGGGTGAGGGAGAGGAAATGCTCTCAAAGCAAAGCCCTGACATCAATGACAGCGCAGTTTATTCTCACTTTGTTCATGAGTCAGTCTACCTGGGCTGGCTTTCCTGGCTTTTGGGGCAGCTTCTCTTCCAGAGAGAGGCAGATTTCTTGCTTTGCAAAATTGCTGCATTTTTTCTATTCCTTGCCCATTTTATAGACTAATTCCTCTATTTTGCTCTTCCATGTTCCATTGTGTTGCCTCACTTCTGGTGACCTCTGCTGTTCTCCATCTTTGCCCTGTAAATAATTCTGTTACCCTTTTTTGTCTTTTTCCGTCAGCTCAGACTTTTGGTTCCTCACCTGATCAAGGCCAGATTTTTATTCTGCCTCCTTCCCTGATGCTTAGTGCAGTTCTGAAAGCTGCTGTTTGCCTACAAAGCACATAAAGATGATGGAATGCTCAATGTTGAATAATTAAAAAGAGTAGATGAAGCAAGACAAATGTAGCTAAAGCCTTGAGTATATATTTATATACGACTAATATCAGCAGCTTTGTGCTGCTTACATAACTCTGTGTGGATGGAGTTACATGTTTTAAAACAAGTTAATTTACTGAAATAATGTCTTAGGGATTTTTGTGTTTGGTTTTCTTTCAGTGCCTAGGAATACTGACTCATCTTGTAATTTCTGGAAATGCTTGGTAGTGTTTGAGCCCCAGTGATAATTTCCTTTTCTAGGATATGAATGAATGAAAATGTGGGTCTTAAAGGTACTTTTTTTAATATGCATCTGGTGTCATCCCTGTGCCACCTGTCCATCATTGAATGGGTTTCTGCTGCCAGTGAACTGGAGAAATTTAACTATCTTAGCTTCATAGTTTTTGGGAAGATTGTAGGAAACTGTCTTGTGCAGTGCTAATAAAGTTTTGTTGAGTCTAGACTTGACTCAGGCATGAGATTTAAGATTGCTGTTATTATGAGCTCTCACCTATTGTTTTCCTCTTTTTCATCTGGGAGTGGTCACCTTTTAACTCACTTCTTCAATTTAAAGATGTTTTAACCAGATCTGTGTTATAATTTCCATGACAAATGAGACATTTCATTAAGAGTCACTCAACTTTACGTTTTTCAGGGTGCCAGCTCTCTTGCATTCCTTGCTAACCAAACACTCTCTGCTGGTGGTCATCCCTCCCAAATCTTTCTATTGAAAGGGCTGATCCTGAGGGCAGTCATGTGTTGTTTTCCAGGTGTCCCAGCATGCAGCCAAGTGCATTCCTGCCATGGTGTGTCCCGAGGTCACGGAGCAGATCCGCCGTGAAATCGCTGCGTCTCTGCATCAGCGCAAGGGAGACTTTGCCTGCTATTTCCTGACTGACCTTGTGACCTTCACGTTGCCTGCAGGTAGCTACAACCCCCTTCTTCCTGCTGGAAGATTTTATTGCTTGGCCACTAGTTGGAAATTAGGTATTTTGACTTTCTGTTAGTGATGTAGGTTTTATTCATTAAGAGGCTTATTAATTAATTTGTGACGTTGACATTGCCTGCAGGTAGCTACAAACCCCCTTCTTCCTGCTGGAAGTTTTTATTGCTTGGCCACTAGTTGAAAATTAGGTATTTTGACTTTGTGGTGGTGATGTGTGTGTAGGTTTTATTCATTAAGAGGCTTATTAATTAATTTATTAAGAGTTTTGTTTATTAAGACCTATTTTATTAGGTCAGATTTAGTAGTTGAATTTGATTACTCAGTATTTGCACACTTCAGTCCATACATTGTTCCTGTGAACTGAGCATCTGTTGCCCTACTTAGACATGAAGAAATGGAAGAAAAGTGGTGTGTTCTAAGGAAAGGCTGTGTTTAAAGTGAGGATTGGAGCCCAGACATTTCTGGTCCATGATGTGACTTTTCACATGTTTATTTTAGCTTTCAGTCCTTGCTGTGGAGGCCCTGAGCTGTTCTTTTTACCTAGTTGTAGCAATAGCACTTTTTGAATACTTTTGAGGTGCTCTGAGATCAAGAGAATGTTTACCTATTAACAAGGAGCTATTAGAAGACTTGTAATCTTCAAAAGCTGTTTCCTTTAATAGAAGTGCTACCACTAGTAAGAAAATGTGTAGCTGCCAACTGTGCCAATCAGCAGATCTGTTTGTCTTCTTTATAAAACATTGCAAAAATTCTATTTGGAACCCCTTTGGTTGAGTGTTACCTCATCTCCTCTACAAAATTCTGGATAATATTTGCCACTTGTGCACCTGACTGAGATGCTGTACTCAGTTTTACTCTGTGGGTTGTGTGTGAGAGGCACATGGGGTGTCTGGGAGAGTAAAATTTCATTGCTTTTTAGGGGAGAGAGGGGAAAGGGACAACAAGGATTTCCTAACATGTGAGAAATGTTCTCTCCAGAGCTTAAGAATTTGTTTGGTATTTTCAAGAGAGACATCTTAAAGCAGTGTGCAGATCTTTGAGTCATGTAGTAGCCATTTAGTAATTAAAAAATAAAGCTGTTCAAAAGCTTCTGTGCATCAAGACTTTCTACTTTCCTTACACTTTGCCAACTGCACATCTTCTGCAGTTTGGCTCCAGAGAGCATTTCCAAGGATAGAAATGTAAATCACACAATCCTGCTCAGATATTACCTGAACAATGTAGTTTAGGAACCAGTTTCCACTCGACCTTTCAGATAAACAGATTGGATCCTCCTGAAAAGCCAATGCTTGGATATTAGAGAGCAAAGCTTTTACATTCATTACTGGTCACTGCAAGCAGTTTTAGCTTAAAAAGCCCCAATCAATCATAAAAAAAAAAAAAAAAAAGACCACCCCACATCACCCTGCCTGCAGCAGGCATTAATGTCCTTCAGTAGCAACTCATGTGCCTAAATGTGGGCTTAAAGCCCTGGGGTACTGGACATCTGAGCAGGACTGGCAGCTACCACACTGCAATTAAGAGAGATCTTTGTGTCCTTGAAATACCACTTAGGCCCCAGTCCTTAGACCCTGAAGTGCCTGAAGGGGTGCTGGATGTTCCTGTTCTTATTTTATTACTGCCTTCACTTCCACATGTTTAAGTTTCATGATTGTGCTGAAACCAGTGAAGCTTCTCTGGTTGCTGCTCTGCCTGGCAACCCTTTACTGCTTATCCTCTGTTGGAATGCAGGCCAGGAGCAAATATTTACTGTGTGGCACATGCTGAGTTTTAGAATGTGTGACAGTGTTTGTTGCTTTAAATGATACAGCAGTCACAAAACAGTTCTGCCCATTATACAGTTCTCCACCTTTTTTCCCCTTCTTTTTTATGAGGTAGTTGCAAATTCTGTCTGTAATGCTCTTGGAGCAGTTGTCAGTACCGGCATTTTCTATGGCATAGCTTAATAGTTTTCCCATTTCTTGTTTTTTAAACCATTGGGGTTCTCAGAACTGTTTCATTGAAGCCTGAATGAGATCACAAAGGAGGGGAATGTTCTGGAGAAGAATACATCCCTTGGCAAACTGTACCTGTCCATTGGGATAGACTGCAGAGGAGAAGCCATTCCAGATGGGTGGAAAAGCATTGCTTAGGATTGAAGCTGTGCTAAAATACAATAGGGTTGAAAGTAAAAATACTCTTTTGTAAAATTTCTCACCTCAAAGTGCTTGTTCTCCACTTTCTCCTTCAGAGAAGTCCAGTCTTACCCTATGCATGCTGTGATGATCCTTTCTGCATCAGAGGTGTGACAGTGAGGCTGAGATGCAAACCTGCCTCAGCAGCTCTGCAGAGCCTTGGGTCACACATGACAGCAGCTTTCCAGAGGAGGTGTTAGTGCTGATAGGGCTAAAGCTGTTCTGTGAGTTCTCCTGAGCAGCAGCTGCTGATGTCTCTTTTACAGTAACATTTAGTGACTCTTGTATTTGCGTTCTATTTTTTCAGATATTGAAGATTTACCGCCCACAGTCCAGGAAAAATTGTTTGATGAAGTACTTGACAGAGATGTTCAGAAAGGTAAATGCACAGAGAACAGCTGGGATCACTCCTGGCTTTTCATTAGACAATGTGTCTCTTCCTAAAAATGGACTACATCTGTCTGTATATGCATGGCTCTGTCCATGAACATGTTTTCAATAGAGATTGGACGCTTTCAGCTGGATCTGCACCCTGGAATTCATAAAGTCACAGTATGGATTGGGCTGAAAGGGACCTTGAAGGCCTTCTAGACCAGGTTGCACCAAACCAGCAACTTCCAGAATGGGGCAGCCACAACTTCTCTGGGCAGCCTGTGCCAGGGCTCACCACAATCACAGGGAGCAGTTTCTTCCCAACATCTCATGTAACCCTGCTCTGTGATAGTGGGATGCCATCCCCCTTGTCCTGTCACTACCTGCCCAAGTAAAATTATTTTAATTTTAACATTTCTAGTCCATTTATGAGGCAGAGGGAGAATGGAGTCTGTAGAAATCATGTTTGTAGAGATTTTCAAAAATCTTTAAAAGTCAGTTTTGAGTCACAAGCTTTTTAAGGAAAACTGAAAAAAGTCTTCATTTCAGTAACAATTCTCAAACAAATGATGGGGGAAGCTGTGGTTTGGTTTTGGTTTATTTTATTGACAGTGGAAGAAATTTCCTCAGCCAGTGTTAGTTGACCTGTTCATTTTGATGCCTTGTGAGGGCTCAACATGAGGGCTGACCTAGAACAGAGACTGGACAAAGTTAAAGAATAAAGCAGGGATTTATTAAAAGGCCTCCATGGATGCACCTTGGGCAGCACCAGAGCCCAGCCAGGGCTGCACCCAAGATGAACCAAAATGGCCCCAAAATGCACGGCCGGGCACGGGGTCTGTCCCTGGGATCAGTTCTGCTCCATTTGCACCTTGCAGTTCATTGTCCCATTCCAGCTTTAGCCCAGGCAGTCCCACCCTGCTTGTTTTTCTCTCTGCAGCCCACGGTGTTTGTGCTCCTGGGCTGAGATTTGGATCATTTGTCCTTGGTGCCCAGCTGGAGCAGGAATTGTTTTGTCTCCCTGCTCTGTGCACAGAGCTCAGCATTCCCAACTCACCATCCACTAATATGAAGCTCAGAAGTGCACACTATGTTTCAGACTCTTGCTTTAGCAGCACAGACTCTGAAACATAGAAAAGCTAAAACCTGAGGCATCAATTGTTGTATGAAGACAGTTTTTATTCATGCAGAGGGGTAGATCATTGAGACTATGCCATTATTGTGCTGTGTGAATTCCCCAAGATAAACAAGAGCTTGTTTAAGAGCTGGCTGTGCCGTTGCAGAGCTGGAGGAGGAGTCTCCCATCATTAACTGGTCCCTGGAGCTGGGGACACGGCTGGACAGCAGGCTGTACGCGCTGTGGAACCGCACGGCCGGGGACTGCCTGCTGGACTCGGTGCTCCAGGCCACCTGGGGCATCTACGACAAGGACTCCGTGCTGCGCAAGGCCCTGCACGACAGTTTACACGACTGCTCCCACTGGTGAGTCTGGGCAGCCTCTGCCCCTGCTGCAGCAGCAAAACCCCGCTGCCAGCTCTCCCCAGTGCCCTGCTGCTGCTTTGAACAGACAGGAGTCTGCTGAGGAAGGCAGGAGCCTCCCTTGAAATGGAAAATGTAAATCTCCTCCCTCCAAATTGTTATAATTTGGAAATTAAGGGGCTCTCGGGCAAAGATATTGCAATAGGAATAACAGTTCTTTACTAGGAAAATTAAAAATAAAAATGCAGTAGTACAAAAAAAAAAAATAACAAACCACTGCCAGAGTCAGAATATGTCCTGCCCCCCTGTGTGTCAGGGTGGTGTCCCAGCCCCATCCCATGGGGGCTCAGCCCTCCTGCAGTGCCAGCTGTGGCTCTGCTGCAGCAGGGATCCTGCACAAGGGGGGAGTTTTCCTCTGCAGCTCCAGGGCTGCTGCAGATGGGCCTGGGCTCCCTCTGGCAATGCAGGGCAGCAGAAAGCTGCTCCTCTGGCAATGCAGGGGGCAAAGGCTGCTGGGGTGTCCCAAAGCTCAGATTGGATCCAGGTAGGAATGCTTGGCTCCTCCCCTGGGCGGAGCATCTCCCCATGGGATGCTGGAATTGGATCAGCCCTGCAGGGACACTCACTGGCCATGGACAGCAGAGATCTCCTGAGGGAGGATTGGATGTGGGAGAGATAAAGAAAAAACTGCCCCATGGACAGAGAAAACTGCCCCACCTCTGACAGATGGCAATAGAATACACACCCCCAGCCACATCTTACATTGCAGCCCAAGACACCTGTGGGTTGTGCTCCTCAAAGCTGTCCAGTGGTCCCAGCTGGGATCTTCATCTCATGTTTTAAATAGGAGCACTGGAAACTTGGATGCTGTGAACTCAGGGGTGTGTGATGCTCAGCAAATGGCATTTCAAACACTAAAATGCTTTATACTTGTCAGGCATGTACTAACCACAGTTACTGCAGCTGCAGTTTGTGTCCTGGCAATGTAAATCATGCACATGCCGTGCCTTGCTGCTCGGTGGGAGCTGTGCAGAAGATTGTTAGTAGAAGATAGCCTTTTATTCTTTATAAACTTTTCAGTGTTTTCATTCCATCTGCTTAGTTACAGCTTTACTCAGGATTGCTCTTTTTATCCCTGTTCTGTCTGCTGAAATAATGGCAGTAAAGCAGAGAGTGCTGACATTTAACTGGTTCTGTCATTTGGCCATAAAATGGATTTATCATTCTGTAAAACAGCTTCTCTTGCTTTGCACTGACCTCCTTTAGTTGGACACTGTGGTTGTTTCCTTCTGCTAGAGGGACAATCTCAGTTGTTCCCCCAGTGGTGTCCAGCAGCTCTCCAGGGTGTCCTGGACTAAGGGATGAGCTGATAAAAACTGATAATCCCAGTCACAGGTGATCATTTCTTTGATGTTCTTGTAGTCAAGGACAGGAGAAACACTGTCAGCACATACTGCAGAAAGCCTGTCCCTGTCCTCTTGCTGTACAGGAGATTAATTTGGGGGTACCTGTGAGTAAATTTTGTGCTGTTGAGGGAGAACTCCCCAAATTAGCATCCAGAGCTGAATTCCAGAAAATGATGCCTCAGAAGCAATTCTCCCAAGATCCATGTCTGAGAGGATCTGTCACTGCTTTGGAGCTGTTCAGCATGGAGTGTGCATCTCAACCATGCAGGAATGTCCCTGGCATCACATGCAGCTCCCATGAGGCCAGAACAGAAATTTAGGATGGATCAGGTTTTGTTCTTTATGGTAACAAAACTAAACATGGTATCCAAAAACATGCTGCAAACTACTGAGCTTTGGACCAAATCTCCTAAAATATTGGTGTTAATTGTGGTTGACTTACTGCTGTACCTTAACATAACTCTCACTTAGAGGCTACTCAGTCTTTTAAGCTTTTTAGTTTATGTCTAGACAGAATTTTCATTTTACTCTGTATTTGTGTAATCTTTATCCTTATTAGAAGCATAGTTTTTAACTGATTGATGTGCTCCTTCCAGGGAACAAGTCTTCAAGGACCAAGTCATGTTCTTGTTAGGAATAAGTCTTTAGAATAAATCTTTTAGCCAGATTTTGTTGTAAATTGATCATTCTGTACATCCTGTAAGTGCTGTATAGATTCCATTTGAGAAGATACATTTAATTTTGTGGGCTAGGACATGTGGCTGATAGGAAGAGATGTCGTCACTGGAACAGGCTCTTAAATGCAATCCCTGCTTAAACTTTTTTATCTAGTGGAATTATTTTTCAAAGCCTCCACAAAGACACTTAAAAATGGGTATTTTTATAGTCAGACAGAAAACACTCATGTAACTCATTTGACCTTGTTTTGTTATGTTTGTTTAGATGCTGAACAAAGAAAAATCTATTTACCAGAGACAGTCTGTGTCTGGTACTCAGAAAAGCTCCACAGTGAAGTTCCCAGAGGCTCTGGCCTGTGGAGTCTTTTCCACTCACCTTTCAATAACTCCACTTTTTTAGTTTACACAAAAATGTGTTTTGAAGTGCCCCTTTTGTATTCCACCATTAGCTTTTGCTGGAGAATAGGCACAATGCCCTAAGTTGACTTTCAGGATTTTATTCTTTAATGGATGCACTCAGTTCTCTTGTGTTAACCTGAAAAGTTTGCTTTTTATGAGATCAAAATCTTCTCTGACTAACTCAGGGAAGAAACTTCTTTGGGAGAACACTTTCAGAATCCAGCTTTTAGGGAGTAGGTTGGTGTTTTCTTTTTTTTCTTTTTTCCTTGAATTTTCTGGGCTTTTTCTCTCATTCTGGTGGTGTGGGGATTTTTGTTGTTGTTTTGCTTTGGTTTTTTTTCTTCTCTTTCCCCCAGAATCTGATTAAATTTCTTTCAGGAGAACTGGGAATGAACTAATTTAAACTTTTGAACTAACAAAGTACTGTTAGAAATTTATGAGAGAAAACAGGCAAAATATTTATCAGGTTCAAAGGTAGAAGTGTTGGTGTGTTTGGATAAAAACTGGAGTATAGATCCAGAAGATTCCCTGTAGATATTACTGTCAATCAGACCTATCCAAATATCTCAATAACAGGAATTTTAAGCCATGCAAATTTTTCCTGGACTCAGGAAACCCAGCCTGGCTGGTGGCTGCTGTCCTACACACCAAGATTTTAGGGTGATTCCACCTTCCCTGAAAGCACAGGAAAGATCTTATCCACACACACTCACTGCCTGCTAATATTCTCAGATTTTAATTAAATGAGTTAATTTCAGTGACATTTCTAATAAGCTGAAACTTCAGAATGGTTTCTTTGTCTTCACAATAAAGGCCATTGTTTAAAAATTGGCTTAGCACTGTTCCCTAAATCCTGGTTCCTAATATGAAGTTATGGCTTTTCCATAGGGTGGTGATTGGACAGAGTTAAAACTTCTAAAAAGCAAACACCTTCCTTTTAATGTGTCATTTTTCTTGGTAAATGGTTAAATAAAATATCATGACTAAACTAAATCCCACTTTGCATATTTGATTCTTATCCACACTGCTTTACAACTCCATATAATGTGGAATTACCACCCCTTTGCTCCAAAATCTGCTACAAAACAGATTCTGCCTCTTAACCATGGGCTGCTGGAAATTGAGATGCAAGCATTTTGAAGTTAATTGACTCATGATGTGGCTAAAAATAGACAATACCTATTTTTTGTGTGAGAAGAATGAGCAACTCCTCCTGTATGAAATGGAATGTCTTACTTATGCTCCCTGTATATCAACACTTAAACCTAAATAAGACTTAAAAAAAAAACCTATTGCAAGAGGTATCAAACTATGCAGGAGCCTGGTAGGAGCTTGGATCATGTTTGCTGTAGGCATTGCTTTTTTTTTAAGTGGTTCTTAAGTGAAGATTGATAAATGGAGTCTCCTGAAGATAAAAAAACAAAACAAAATTCAGTTTTCCTGCTACTTGCTCTTTCTTCTCCCTTCTTCCGATGAAGGTTAAATACTGCTGTCAGGATTATATTGAGTAAATATTTTTGCCTTTACCACTTTTTTTCTCTCTCTGTGTAACATTTCAGGTTTTACACACGCTGGAAAGAGTGGGAATCGTGGTATTCCCAAAGCTTCGGTTTACATTTCTCCTTGCGAGAGGAACAGTGGCAGGAAGATTGGGCATTCATTCTCTCTCTTGCAAGCCAGGTAAGAAAACTCCTTTGTCAAAGGGCTTTTGGAATAGTATTTTAATATCTGGAAAGAAGTTTCAGAACTAGAAGAGTTTTTTTGGGAATAAGAATATTTCTCTATGAACTAAGAATATTCCTTTTAAGCCAATGATCTTAAAATCTTACTGGGTAAGCTCTTCTGCTGATATGGAAAGGTTCATTTGAAATTATAATTTTTGAGCTTCCTACTAAGCAGTGCAACACAAAAAAAGAATGGTGGTATTAGAGTGAAGTCTGTAGAACAAACTCATAGACAATCATATGTTTAATATCCAGCTCCTGCAGCACTTTTACCTCCCAAACACACCTCCAAATCTGTCAGCTTGCACTGCTCAAACTCCAGCAAGCTGAGATTTTATAACTGCCCTCCAAAATGAGATTTACATTCCTGTAAGCTTCCAGCTATGGGAGTTATTTTAGCTCCTCTTTTAAAGTATAAACATGATTTTGGTGCTATTTTTTTGAGATTTGTTTTGTATGTGCCCTTTTCCTGTCATCAAAAGGTATTTGCTCTAAAGTGCCCTCAGATGAAGGAATTATTTTTAGACCTAACATTATGTAGAGTTTCATTTCTAAGTGGGGAATGAAATCCATTACATTGAATCTGGGCAGTAGGACAGAGAATTATTACTGACAGCTGACAAGCTGAAATGTTTTTCCTTATTTCCAATAATTTTCCAGTCTTTTGTTTTTCCTGTTAAAGCTTTATCACTCTTAAAAGCATTTTCTCTCTCAATTTGAAGACTGTTTTTCAAATTTCAAAGTAGAGGATGGTAAGTTCTGTTTCAAGTTCTGTCTTTCTTTGTGTTTGGTTCAGCCTGGAGCGAGTTTGGAGCAGACACACATTTTTGTACTTGCACATATTCTTAGAAGACCAATTATAGTTTATGGAGTAAAATATTACAAGAGTTTTCGGGGAGAAACATTAGGATATACCCGCTTCCAAGGTAAGTCTTTCATTTTCTAAATTCACCTTTCAACAGGGGTGGGCTGTAAATCACTAGTGACATGAAGTGACTGTCTGGAAAAGGATGGAATGCTATTGTAGATAAATTTTCATTTGCTATTAAAAAGAACAAAATAATCTTCTCCAATCTTGAAGTTTTTCATTTTATAAGTGGGCATGGTGCCTGTAAAAGTGAATTCCATGATACTTTTAATGGGAATAAAAATTTTGTGTTTCAGTGATTCACACTTTCCAGCAAGTGTGAATACTGACTTATTTCCCATCAGTACTATAATTTTACATAGCTTGATCAGGTTCTTTCTGAATTTTTTCCCTCCTTGTCTTCAGGACAGTCTGACTCTCCTTAAGATAAATGTGAAGATGACTCAGTCCAGTTTTGCTTAGACTTAACATCTGTAGATTGCTAAGGATGAATTTTCTGCTTTGCAAACCAAATCTGTGTTTGGGCAACTTTCCCCTTTGTGACATGCTAATATTTCATTATTCAAATAATAAAACATGAGTGGGGATTGGGAGCATCTGCACAAACTGAGCTGTAAACAGAACCATGGGGAAGGAGCTGTGTGTGTTCCAGGGTTTGGGACATTTGTTTTGCCCACAGTTCATGTTCCTGGCCTCAAGTACATCTGCTTGATGGTGACCCACTCTTTATTTATAGCTTAGCTGAGGACTTCCCAAAACATCTTTGTGATTTGGAAGAAAAAAACGTGGTGATTTTGGAAGGAGGCAAGGCCATGATCTGTAGAAAACACTAAGCTGTGCAGTTAATGTTAATTTATAACTATTTAGAGTCTTGGCTTCTAAGTTTGGGGCAATAACAAAACTTCATGCAGGGAAATTAATTACCTTTTTGAAGAGTCTAAAAGTTTAGTAGTCATTGTAGTTAGATGTTAGCTTTTGTTTTGATGATGAAAGGCAGCTGGGAAGGGACAGTACTTGTGTCACTTAAATCTGGCACTCCAGCTTTGTGTTGCTTTTAACTCCAAGGCTTAGTGGTTTGCAAAGGTTTTATTTCCTAGATTGGGCATCAAGGCAGACAAGTGTTACATAGCCTAAATGTGCTGAAATTTTCTTGCTCTGTGAACCAGAAGGGTGCCTGGAACTCCCTTTTACTGCACACGGGTTTCCAGGAATTTAGGCAGCCAAATAGTTGCAGCTTGAGATTTGCTTGCCACAAGCCCCATCCATCCATGCATGGAAGCAGCCCTGGGAACAGGTGAACTTGGAGTCCAGTGTCACAGTGACTGGAATTGCTCCTCTCCCTGGCCAGCCACATTTTTGTGGTCAGTGTGTGCTCATCCAATGCCATTGGCACAGCTGAACCCCGGCTGGGTAAGGTGGGCTGCCAGGAGGAGCCTCCTGCTCTGGGCCTGTGTGTGGGCTCTGCTCAGTACCTGCAGCTCTGGGCAGTGCTGGGGTGTCCCTGCCTCTGTTCAACATCACATCCACCAGAAAAGTCCCTGCAAGTGTCCAAGGCCAGGTTGGACAGGGAAGGTGGAAGATTGGGCAGGGGGTGGAACTGGATGGGCTTTAAGGTCCCTTCCAACCCAAACCACTCTATAATAGAAATGGAGAATTGAATTTTTTTAAATGCTTGTTCAACATCATGGTTCAGTTTGTAGCACCCTCTTAGCCACCCCTAAAATACTCTTTTCCCAGGGATTCCTTGTTCCAGCTTGGCATCCTTGCTGTAGTTCCTGTGAATCCCATAATTGCCAGCCTCCTTCTTCCCCAGATTCCAGCTGACTGTTAATTCTGTAAATCCTAAAGCTTCAGTGGTGGAAGATCTGTTTTCTCAAGCCCTAACTATGACCCTTCTGGTCCAGCCACATATATTTAGTGGCAAAAATGTACAGCTTTTAAAATTGAACAGGAAAAAACATGACTGACTGAAGTGATCATCAGGTCAGGCTGGAGAAACTAAATCCTGTCTGAGTGGCCTCAGGATAGGTGTCAGCCCATCCCCTTTATTTTCTGTGGTTCGTGTTCATGTCAACTGTTGTTACACGCCCTCCTGGCTTTATATCACAGTGACTTTTATAACTCTTAAGAGCACTAGATATTCTCCCTGGCAATGCTTGAAATTCTTTTCTTGTGGAGCTCATCACAGTGTTGAGGAGGAATGGAAAGTGCAGCACAGCATTCTGTCTTGGGGAAATGATTAGTGTGGAATTTTCACCAGGATAAAACAATGGTGAAGGAAGATTTCCAAACACTTGCTGAATTTCAGTGTAGAGATGGAGGCAAGCAGATGAGTTTCAGTCCTGAAAGTTCACATAGCTCTGCTCCCAGGAATTGAGGGACTGCTTTTCTTACATTTGGCTGGATGTCATCTTCAGTGTAAATTTTAATTTTGTCTGGATGTTTGGTTCTTGCCCTTAAATGCAAAGGTTTGAAACTTTCTGGTGAAACTTATCCTGTGTTTTTCACTTTTTGTGTTTAACATTGCTTTAGAGTGAGACTTGATAATAGGGACAGGAGGGAGGGCTAAGAATGTATTGAGAGGATCTGTCTTTAAATCGAGGTGTTGTAAAAACTTGTAGGACTCTTGATTTTAAACAAATGGCAAGACTTTTAGGTAGCTCTTAATTGTTAATTCAAAAACAAGGAGGGGAGAAAAAAGGCACAATTATTTACTGGTAGCCCCCACTAATTTTTACTGCAGTACAAAAAGATGAGCTCAACACTTAAGCAGAACCTCCAAAGCCACCCCTGCCTCAGGTTCCCATTTGAGCCTTGCCCTTCCCTCTCCATGGCTGTGAGGAGCTGTTTGCAGCAGCAGCTGTGCTAGGAGGGGTTGCTATGCTACATGTGCACTTGAGTTTATGTGGGGCTATTTTTAACCTGTCACAAGGTGAGCTGTGCTTTTGCTTAAGTTGTCTTGCAGCAGTACACACCAAGAATTATTTATGTTCCTGGAAGAAAGGAGTTCCAGTTTTATTTTGAGACCTCGAGCAAATTGCTGTCTTTATTGCTAAAAATGGTGATGAGAAAAAGTGCAGTTCTCAGAATCTGTGACATCAGGTGTTGGTTGTAGCTGAGCAAAGTAGTATCAGCTTTTTGGTGCTTTTTCCTTTTTTTTTTTTTTTTTAATTGATATGAATAATTGATGTGTGTTAATTTAATCTGTGAGTACTGTATATGAGCAGTCCCATTCTCTGGGATGGGTTACATCAGTGCTGAGTAACATTTTGTGCAGTGAGTTCTTTTAATGATAAGTTTTGAGAGCAGATGGTGGAATTTTTGCTCTGGTAAAAATAGACATCTGACTGTAACCTTTATTTCTGTCATGCAGAATCTTTTTTTTTCTTCAGTTTTAAGAAGAATTATCAAACATAAAAGGCAGCTTTTCTAATCTTGTTTTTTGCTCATCACTGCACTATAGACCATACATTTTAGGGCTGTGGTAATGTAGTGGTTGTGATTGTAAACTCCTATGTTTAAACTTGCGTTGCAAAGATGGACTTGTGTTAATTAACAACAATTAGCTCTACTGCAAAGTGTGGCCTGTATCAGTGCAGACCAAACCATGCATGTTTTAAATGTGCTGTGCTTCTCTTTGGCCCAAACCACACGGTTTGTATCAAAACCCTTCCTTGCTGAGCAGCAGTTCTGAGCCTTCCCCTGTGCTTTCCTTGCCCACAGGTGTGTATTTGCCTTTGTTATGGGAACAGAGTTTTTGTTGGAAGAGTCCCATAGCTCTGGGCTACACGAGGGGCCATTTCTCCGCCCTGGTTGCCATGGAGAATGACGGCTATGGCAATCGAGGCGCTGGTGCTAATTTGAACACTGACGATGATGTTACTGTTACTTTTCTACCCTTGGTGGACAGCGAGAGGAAATTATTGCACATTCACTTCCTTTCTGCTCAAGAGGTAAGAAAGAAACACCTGGTGTGTGCTGGAGACGTTGTCACAGCTGCTCCCTGAAGCTCAGCAATCTCTGTAGCCCCCTGAGTTTTGGTGTCTAGAGAATTACAGGGAGTGTGCTGTTCCGGGTAATTATTGCAGCTCCCTTCCCCATCATTCCAGGTGATGCTGAAAGGTATTTTCCAACAAATTTGATGCTTATTTACAGCTCTGTAAATAGAATGTAACTTCATTGACCATGTAAATCACAGAAACGAATCACAGAATGTCCTGTGTTGGAAGAGACCCACAAGGATCATTCAGTCCAGCACCTGGCCCCGCACAGGACACCCCAACAATCCCACCCTGTGCCTGAGAGCACTGAATATCAGCATACCTAGAAAAGGACACAAAAATAAGGGTTCTGTCACTAAGGCAAGACTGAAATCTGCCTTTTGGGGTTTTTTTTCCCTAAAAGATGAAGCACAAATATTGGCCTACAGTTGCAGCATTTTCCACCTTCTATTCTAATGAAACTCAACTCATTTTTGCTTTAGTAACTATGATAAAGACATGAAATTACTTCCCTAAAGGGTGTGCATGGGTGAAGAGAGGGCTGGAAAACTGAAGTAATTGCAGAAAGTTGGCATTCTGTAAATAAAAGGAGAAAATTATGAGCTTCAGGTCTAGAAAGGGATGTTTCTTCAGCAAGCTGTGATATTTGTTATATTTTACAAGAGAAAATATTTCACGTTGAGAACTTACAAAAATGTGTTTGTAAAGCCAGAAAGCTCTTCCCTCCTTATATGTGGTGCCTACTGTAGATAAATAGCTGCTTAAAAATAACTGAAGGCCGTACTGGAAATAGACATGTGAAAAATAGAGAGAGAGAGAGAGAGGGGTGGATGGATGGATTAGAAGAGCTGGAGAGTACTTCCAGAGCCTTTGGTTAAAAATGCAGTGGGCATCAGTTTTTTTCCTTTTGTGGGTGTGATGCCTTGGGGTGGCTACCTAGAACAGAGGCAAGGTTAGGAGAATCTTAGATGAGATTAAGAGGATCCAGTGGGGCACGCTTGGAGCAAGGGCCAGCGCTGGGCGTTTGGGAGAAAGTGATGTTTCCTTAGCAAGCCATGATGTTTGTTACATTTTACAAGAGAAAATATTTCATGTTAAGAACTTCTAAATTGTGTTTGTAAAGCCAGAAAGCTCTGTTAGGACTTCCCTCCTTATATATGGTGCCTACTGTAGATAAATAGCTGCTTAAAAATAACTGAAGGCCGTACTGGAAATAGACATGTGAAAAATAGGGAGAGAGAGAGAGAGAGAAAGAGACAAAGAAAGAAAGATGGATGGATGGATGGATGGATGGATTAGAAGAGCTGGAGAGTACTTCCAGAGCCTTTGGCTGAAAATGCAGTGGGCATCAGTTTTTTCCTTTTGTGGGGGTGGTGCCTTGGGGTGACTACCTTGTACAGAGGTGAGGTTAAGAGAATCTTAGACGAGAGGATCCAGCGGGGCGCGCTGGGAGCAGGGCCGGGCTGGGCGTTTGGGAATTCTCACTGCTGGTGTTTGTGTGCCCCAAAGATAGGCAACGAGGAGCAGCAGGAGAAGCTGCTGCGGGAGTGGCTGGACTGCTGCGTGACCGAGGGAGGGGTCCTGGTGGCCATGCAGAAGAGCTCCCGCCGGCGCAACCACCCGCTGGTCACCCAGATGGTGGAGAAGTGGCTGGACCGCTACCGCCAGATCCGGCCCTGCACGTCCCTGTCCGACGGCGAGGAGGACGAGGATGACGACGATGAGTGAGGGGGAATAAAGTGCAAATGAGCAGCGCAGAGTGTGTGCCCCCGAGTGAGCGTTGTGCTGTAGCAGTTGGGTGTGGAGCGACCCAGGTTAGGGGATACGTGCCGGGAAGGATTCTCCGACGGCACGGGGAGAGGATGGAACGCTCATCCTGCTGCCCGGAGAGAGCCGAGTGGGCTGGACTACAGTTTGTATAAAAACACGAAAAAGAAACAAAAAACAGCTAATTTTATTATCAAGATGGAAAAAAAAAAAACAAACCAACCAAACCAAACCGACCCCATTTTTCTTTCTGACTGTAAATCTGTCTATAAATGTACCGCATGTGGTTGTGTAAGAGGTTGTGTAATAGGAAACGTATACCAGCATCTTAATTATTGCAGAGAAATTTTTCAACTAAGGGCACTTCTGAAAGCACATGTGAGCTGGATGGATATCTCCTCCCTCTGAGATTCTTTTACAGTAGAACCTGGTCTTCTCCATCACCTTTTAGATACTCTGACACATTTCCCTGAAAGGCCTTGTCCTGTGAAATCTCACTATGCCCAGGTCAGATTGTGAGAGGTTTTTTTTGTTTGCACAGATATCCACAGCAAGTCATAAGCAAAAATGCATTCGTTATTTTACTAATATTTTAGTTATTGCTGTGCCCACGTAATAAAGCCTAAACTCTATGGAACAAACTGGAAGAGAAGCTAAATTTACATTGAGTGAAATGATTTGTTTCCTGAAAAAGCTTTTTTGGGGGTTTTTTTTTGCCTTTTATTTTTTCTTCTAATAGTTAATAGTTTCCTTTCAGTATACATAAGGATATTTATTCAGAGAAGTGACCTAAAAGATTTTATTCCTGTGAGCATACACTAAACAAAATTGTGTGAAATCTGAGAACTTGAATACAATTGAGAATTTAATCTTGTCAAAACTCAGTCTTGCTGTGTTACAAATTATATCATTTTTATCATTTATTCTTTGATCACTCAAACTTTGCTGCAAATGAAAAAACACCTTTTTAAAGGTTACTCCTCGGTCACTAAATCTAGTGAGAATCCACTTGGCAGTTCTAATTAAAAAGAAAGAATCTATGCTCAAGTTGTTTAAAAGCACTGTTATATATTTCTCAGTATGTAAACCTGGGAATTTCTTGCATGTTGATTGATGTGGCCATACTTAAACTTATGTAAGTTCCTAAGACTGTAAGTTCAGAGTATATTCTCCAGTAGAAATTTTATTATATTTGATAACTTTAGCCATGTAACCTGTAATGGATAAAGTTTATCTAAAAATCTCACTGAAACACTAAAGGTTAATGCCAGTTTTTACATATACAGTGCAATTCAGGTTGTCTTGGAAAGCACTTTTGATGGTGTGGTGGTTGAATAAGAAATTTTGCAGTAGATGAAATTGTTTAATTAGAATTTGGAAAGAAGCCCCATAGCACCTATTTTTATGTAGTTCAGAGCTATGGAAACCCTGAGGAAGTTGCTGCTTTTTCTTCCAAATGCTGCTTAGATGGTGTTGAAACGTGCACAACTCCTACAGAAACTTGGTGACGACACCGAAAGTAAAGAAATAATGAAGTACTGTATTAATTTTGCAATTCTCCCGTCCTAGATTCCACTGAGGTTTATTATGTCTTCACCTTTTTTGGCCATTAGATTTGCTCTGCTTGGTGCATGCCCAGATTTCCAGGTGAAGGATGAATGCTGCTCTGCCATGTGTGAGTGACCCAAATTCACCACCCAGCCCCACATACTACAGGGGTTCTTCATGAGCACACAGTCCTGGTTCAAGTTCCCTTTCTAAATTGGGATTTGTTTTTATCCTTACCTTGCAGTGAAATCCTTTTATACCTTGTCTAGCTGAGGGTGTAAAGCTTTTCTGTCAGGGAGCTGAATGCAGGGTAAGCTGGGATGAGGATTTCTGTGCCCTGAGCTGGCGTGCAGCCTGTGCTGGAGTGGTTTATGTGTCATGCTGTGACCATGGTGCTCCTAACTCGGCCAGCTTGAGGAGCTCTCAGTGGCCAGACCTGTAACTTCAGATCCCAGCTGCCCTGTGGACAGAAGGAAAAGCCCCTGGTTCCATGGGCTGCTCAAGGATGCTGAGGAGTTCTCACCTCCCACCCATGTTCTTCTGGCAGTGCTGTTTGTTCGGGGAAGCAAAGCTTGTCCCAAGGGGAGAATTACCAGTGTGAAATTCTGCCTTGAGCCACAGCGGCCCAGCTCTCCTGCCCTGCCCTCGTGGTGTCCATGGGCAGCCTGCAGTGTGCCCCTGTCCCCCAGCCCTCCCTGAGCAGTTCCCTGGGCTCAGTTCAGCTGATCTCACACGCGTGCACCGATGAATTCGCACTGCTCCGACAGGACAGTCCTGGTACTTTGGATCACTTGGCTTCCTTGATCATTGTTGTTTTGTTCTGATGTGCTGCACAGTGGTCTGTTCAGGTTCACATGCTTCACAGGCCCTTTGGGAGCTGGTGAAGTCTTTTCCAGAATCAGAGTAATCCAAACCTCCTGTACTGGTAGATTAAAGAGCTGCAGCCCCCGGCTTCGTGCTCGCACTGCAGTCAGTGTGTGTCAGTGGCTCCTCAGTCACACACCTGAAAGTTTACAGGCACTGAGGTTCATCTGCACACACTCCCTTGCAGCTTGGCAGCAAGTTCTGCACTTTCAGCCATGAAAATATATACAAAAAATTGGGTTTCTCAATGTTATTTTCCTCATATATTGCTCGCAGCAGCACATGCTTTCCTAGCAAAGAACTTAGCTTTTCATTGCTACCTCCTTTACAGCTGGTCAAGAGTTTTTTTCTGGTTTTATTTATGACTTCCTCAGTGAAAATCCCTGTATTTCTTTTGTTTTTAATATATTAAAATTTAGTAATTCTGGATTCTTCCAAAGTTCTGCTGCATGGCTTATGGCAAATACCCCTGAGTTGTATTTCCTCCAATACCCAGGTTGGTTTGTGTGTGTGGAGACTTTAATTTCTGCTTTTCCTTTTTCTCCCTTTGATTCAGTAACTTCCCTAATACCTTTTTGAGAGGTTTTATTCAGTGTTTGTCACCTTGAAGCTGCTTGTTTTGACAGCTACTTTGACATCTTTGGAGTTCTCCCTGGAGAAAAAGATGATTATCCCAGGAGATAACCTGTCTGCTTTCCCTGAGTGGGACAACAGCAGCATGGCTCTGTCAGCCACAAACCTTCAGCAGCAACTGTTCATTTCCAATTTCTTTGCCCAGTAATTTTCCATTTGAGAGCTGCAGCTCCTGGTGCTCTGGCATCTCCCAGCTGTGATGATGTTCTTCCCCTTCCACGGCTCCAATCTTTGCATGTTTTGCTGGTGTTCTCCCTGCAGGCACTTGTAACCTTTGGGATGGCTTAACCTGTGTTCCTGTTGAGCTTGTGGCACTTCTGACCTTGGTTTTGGCTGAAAGGGAAGTTGTGAGTTGGATGAAAGCTCCAGCACGTTGTGAGCTTGGAGTCACTGCTGGCACACGGATCCTGCGGCGCAGGGAGGGACCAGATTATCGAGAAACAAAGTACCAGGGCTCGTTTATTTTTAAAACAACTAAACCTTAAACATCAATTCAATGTTTTCCTCTTGGTTTTGATGGTCATTTTGGTGTCTCCCAAATGCTCCCCCTGTATGTGACCTGTTTTATCCCAGTTTCTCACAGAGGTCACGGATAATTCACTGCTGGGCTGTGCTGAGCACTGACAAGGAGCAATCACTCTGTAACAGGTGACCTCTTGTGTGGATGTTTGAAGCTGGTAACCAAGTTTTCAGTTTAATTTTAAGCAAACAAAATACAGAGTTTTGTAACTTGGACACTTTGGTTTCAGCTTTTTTTAGTCCCCATCTAACTCCATGTGTGTGGCACTTGGACACAGTGGTAAAGAAGGGTGGAAACAAGAACAGACAGGCCTCTTGCCCAGTGAGGCTCAAAGCCAGCAGCACCTCTTGAGCACTTTTTTGGCTTTATTTTCCAATGGTTTGATAATGCTTCAGCTCTTGAGAATGTACAGAAAATGTTGTTTGAGTTGTAGCTGCCTTTGTACTTAGTGGAAACCCACAGTGATCTCTTCATCACAGAATGGTCTGAGTGGGAAGGGACCTTCCCCTCCCACTGGACTGTAAATATGCACCAAGTGTGACCACAGTTATGTTTCTGTACCTTATGGTTACCTCTCAGTGTCTCCAAGCCCCAGATTGCAGCGAGAGCTCTTGCCTTTCAGAAATTATAGAAATTTTATCACTTTTTATTGAAAACTGCACTGAACGCTAAATGTCCACCTTTACAATAAACAAATACAGTAACGGTAACACACTAAACCAAAACATACTGATAGCCATTGGTTTCTTTTTTTTTCTGTTTGGGACAGCTCAAGATTTCTTTTTTTTTTTTTTTTTTTGTCACAGAAACAGGAATGTACCCATACAAAGGCTCAAAACAGGCCATCTTTAAAAACAAAAGGCGGTGATTCACAAAAGACTATGAATATAACATGTAACTAGTTGATACAAATCTAATAGGATTTGTTAAAATCAGTCACATCTAATAACACATCTTGAAGTGTTCTTGTATAAAATATCACGTGAAGAAAAGAAGACTTTTATCAATGTCTAAAAAAGTGGATTTTGTTCATAGACAGTCTGACAAGTTACCATAAAAAGTGTTTCCTGAGACATAAGGAAATGCAACATTATTCTTGAACCCTTTCCAGCTCAAGACTTTTTCCACTTGATAAAATAGCTGCAGATTTAAAACTGAGAAAATATATCTGAGTACAAATAGTGTGTGAAACTTAATACTTTCTTCTTTTTTTCCTTTTTTTTTTCTTTTCTTTTTTTTCTTTTATTTTTTCTTGCATCATTGCAGGGCGTAGGTGGATGCACAGCTACTTTATTCAGTGTATTGGGCAGAGAAGAGACTGGCAGTTTGGTTTTGCTTAGCCTGGGAGGGCAGTGGTCACTGCCAGGAGCCCTTTCTGCCCTTCCCATCCCACAGATCCCAGCTGGAATGGCTGGAACTCGGACCTGGCAGGAGAACTTCTGTTACACGGCACTGGCCACTGCAAAAAGGAGGAGGAGGAGTATTTTCTTTTTTTTTTCTTCCACTTCTAAGCCAGGACTGCTGCCCCCTGTTAGGAGAGGTCACCAGATGCAAGAGAAAGGAGACGGCTGAAGCCACACAATGGTTTCTTGTTAACTCTGTAAAGATGGCTTAATTCAGTGGCCTGGACACAGTGCAGGAGCCCTGTCCTTCCCAAGGAATTGAGGGGGGAAAGAAATTCATTTTTATTCATGTGATTGATGCACAGATGAAGGAAACTCAACACACAATAACAGAAGTTGCTCATTAATGTATCACATCCTAGTTTTCAGCACTGCAGGGAGCAGGTGACTTCTCCAGGGCTTCTCCCCAGTCTTGGCTGCTGTCGCTTTGTCGGGAACACCGGAACATCAATGATGCCTCTGTCCAAAATCAACATTACAAATTTCGTATCAAATTCTTCTCTTTTTAGTTCATGTATAACTTCTTTTCCAATGTCTCTTGGTCCTAAGTTTATTGAACGGTTTTTAAATTATCTGCTATTGCTCGTTGGGGTGTTCCCTGTTGTCGCCGTGTTTGGTGGGCTGGTTGGGCGATGGAGCTTGGGAAGGATGTGCCACTGTGGGGAGGCTGTGGGTGACAGGGATGCCGCCGGGAATGATGCCCTCCATGGCTGCTGGGATTCCTCCTGGTGCCACACTGACCATCCCGGGGGGATACCTGCCACAGGGGACACAGAGAGGCAGGTTTGTCACAGCACAGCTCGTCACACACCCTCAGCCCAGCACCACTGGAGGAAACACAGCAAGGAGGTCCCACCTCCCTCCTGCAGCCAGGTTTGCTTTTCCTTTTAAGTTACAAGGGAGAGCTCAGAGTTAAACACCAACTGCTGTGCCTTGGGTAAGTGTCCTCTGCCACACCACTGAACTGCAGCTTGTCGTGTGCCCTCACCATGGAGAGGCCCTTCTCCTTTGGAAATCTGGGTAAGGAACCATCTGGAATGCTCTCTGAAAGCCCAAACACTGGTGTGCTGACCCCATCATCCCTGTGTGTGAATACCTTGAACACCTACACCTGGTTTGTAAATATTTCCTGGAGCTGCATCTTCCTTGTGGAACAGCAAAACTCAAAAGATGGTATCAGATCTAATTAGCTTTTCCAAGAGCAGGAGGAATTGCACACATTCCAAGAAACAACACTGAGTTTGAAAAAGGAGAATATTAATTATTTCTTCAGCTGTAATGTGGGGGCAATGAGGACAAATCCATGTGGAGCTCTGTGGCCATGTGAGGCCTGAGGGCTCCCACTTCCCTGCAGCTCCACTGCCTTGAGGCAAGGTGGGTTGGGAAGGGAGAAGGGAATTTCACCTGCCTGTGAGGGTGGTGAGCTGAGCCAGCTTACAGGGGCTCCAGGGAGTTTAGCCAGGCTGCAGCTCCCTGCAGAGAGGTTAAGCTGGGAAGCCAAGGCCTGTCCTTGGGTGCTGGCACTGCCCACGCGTTTGGGAACAGGGGCAGCTTTCTCCAGGTTTGGGCATTCTGCTGGGGCCTTCACTGCCTGTGGCCTGCATGGCCCAGGAGCTGCCAGGAGCTGTCCTGGGCTCTGCTGCTGGGTGACTCTGGCCTGGCTCTGCCTGACATGACCTGATGTGCCCTGCAGGGCATTTTATAGCTCAGAGTATTTTTGGCAGTGGTGATACCCTGAATGAGCCCATGCTCCAGTTCCTTGAGCCTTATGTCTCCTACCAGCACACTTGGAGCCATCTAAACAGAGCAGTAAATAACCCTTAATCTCGGATTAGGTGGAAATTGGGTCACCTGACTACAGCCCTGTATTTGGAGCTTTTCCTGTGGCTACCTGTGGGCTGGGCCTGGCTTACAGAGGTACTCATGGACAGGAGCACCGAGCTGCTGCTGCATTCAGAACTCACATCCAGTTTGTGGGGGGGGTCTGGGGGGGTTCCTGCCACTTCCAGAGACGCTGCCCAGTGACTCCCAGCCCACAGGGATGCAGCTGTGGGAAGGGAGGCTGCACCCACCCTTTGGGGTTGGCTCAATCCCATCAGGAACCTCCGTGCTGTGAGTGCTGGTCCCCAGGGAGGGGGTGACAGCACCGGGTGCCCACCCTCGCCGTGCCAGCCCGGTGTTCCC